CAAATTCAAAAAGCATTTTCAAAAAGAAATCTTCAATTCCTAAATTCAATTTTATATGAAAGCTACTTTTACCACACTATCCTACTAATGGTGACCTTATACCACACTAATGGTGACGTTATAGTTATCAAAAGAGGAGGTAGGCCAAGGCCTTATTTTGGCCCACTGGAAATCTCAAAATTTAAAGAGGCAGAAAACTTTGAAAAAATGGTATAAATATTATCAGACATATTCAAACTATGGACAACTATCTTTTTTTCTTTCTTATTCTTGCATATTTTGGATAAAATATAGCTAAGATGAGTGAAAATGGCAGGTTTTTAGAGCTTCAAATGAAAATCTAACTATGGACAAGTCCATGACCAACATGAATGTTTGACCACACGTCTGTACTGTTTTTATCTGCATCTCCTGTGAAAATTACACTTGGGTCAAAGATTTGCTCATGTTCAAATATCAGAAATCTCTGAAACCAGCCTTTTTGACACCTTTCTCCTCTCCTATGCATTTAATGTTATAATTGCCAACCGCAATTGTTGAAATGAAGTTTTGTTCCCATTCAAAAGAACACACACCTGTATCTGATAACTTTCCTAACAATTTCTACAAGTATTGCTTAATTCTTAAAGCATGCAGATCGTGGGGGCCAAAAAGGGCCTTAATATCCTACCTTGTCCTTTGCTTAAATTGCTATTTCTGAGAAGTAGTTTCGACATTCAAGATCTAAGTTATCACAATCAGTTTCCCCCTGCCCAGCTCAGAAGTGTCACCAAGTACGTCAGGGGAAAGTGTAACACTAGTGTAAAAAATGGAACAGATTGGATTTCAGTTAAGAATCTTGAAAATGTGCATGTGACAAGTTGACACATTTTCCCTGTAGCAGGCAAGGAAACAAAGTGAAGAAACAAACTCCCTGTACATTATAATGTCTGTGTGAAACAGGCGGTGTCACTCATGTGAGGGAGAGTGAGTGAGTGAGTGAGTGTCTTGGGTTAAACCATTTTAACAGTGTCAAGTCATTTAAAGTGAGAAGATGGGATTCAGTTCATAGACATTTGCCTTTTCGGTGAAACCCATAGGAACAGGTATGATGCCAGCAAAACAAGCATCATAGGATCCTTGCACAACTAAGGGATGCAACTCTGCAGAGCAAACTGAAGTACCTAATCTCATGTCTCTTCTGCTGGAGATCGATGGTGATGTATTTGCTACAGGTACAAAAGTATCATTGTTGTGTTTTGCAGTGTTTGGTGACTGTCTTTAGCCTAGTAACATTTTGATAATGTTTGTTATTTTTGGGTCAAATCCAGTTTTCATGTGTAAACTTTCTTTTGTCTGGAAGTTTTTCTCAACCCAAGAACTATCAAGCTTATGATCCATCTGGCTTAAACGCTATCTTGACTCAATATATAACACAAGTGCTATTTAACTTCCAACCACTCTGAAGGTTTACGGTAGACAAAATGACAAATGCTAGGCTCACTGTTACAGGAAACAGCAATTTATTCAATTTTGAGATCACTTTCGCCTGGACTTTTTTTCATAAGTTCTGTGATTATTCCTGCGGTCAGTGATAAAGGACAATTCTAAATGCTTCATAATTGCATTTGAATTATTTTCTGTTGATTCTTTGGAAGTAAACTCCTCACTTGTTTGTTCAAATTTCCTACAGGAGTGTAACAGTGAAAAACAAATACAAATTATGACAAAAATAATATAAATATCTCATTGCAAAATCTCCACCCTTTACAACAGTGGTATAAATTGCATTATATCAACTTAATTGTATAATGCCATAACAAAGATATGTATCAGAAAGGACATATTATGATATTTATAACAGAGGATTGTAAATGACATATTAAATATTTGTTTCAAAGTCCAATCCAAAAGTCACTTTAAGATGTTTTAAAAAATAGGATAATGTGTTACAGGAATTACAGTTGTCTTCATTCCTTCACGAGGAATACTGAACCATTCTTACCCAAAACTGCTACATATCATGGCTTATATTCCCCAGAAGTCACAAACTCTAAAAACACATTTGTGAACAATACAGAGATTAATCTAGACTAGCTCAAAGGCGGATATTTGGACCCATGTCCGCAAAAAGTCACTAATTAGAATAAAAAATGTCCCAATTTATGTATTTACTGCTTGAACTAATGTTATGGTTTTGCAGAGGTGACTTGTCTTTCACTGACACCAGAACAAAAAGCATGAAGAGGCTTTAATGCTTACTCAATCATTATTGCATTGAATGCAGTGTTAACATACAATGTCATAACACCTCTAATTTCAAGGAAATAACTTCTAAACATTTTTTCACTACACCATGATAAAAGAAGTTACAAAATCCATTTCCTTCACGTACTCAGACAAAAGCAATTAACCATACAAAAAAGTGGGATATAACATAGAATCAGCTGTTTTTATTACACAGAGTGTACAGACGATGAGCACAGTACACAAGCTAGGATTTGGAATAATGAGAAGATTCCTTGTGTCGACAGGGCACGTTACCCTCCAACCAAGGGGGCTGCATCTGAGAGACACAACAAGTTTTTGTATAGTTTGCGTCACTTTCTTACAGTGCTGTCTGAATCAGGAGATTTCTCTCTCTTTCCCTGACAACATGAAAGCCTTGAAACTTGAAGACAACAGAAGGCCATGTTCAAATTTTCCCAGGACATTTTTTCCCCCAGCCACAGGCATTGATTTCAAGCCATGTGTTTCTGGCTGGAGTCCCCTTCCAGGGCTGCTTGTATATACCGTTTAACAACTAATTTCCCTAGAAATTATTGATAATTTCTTTCGAAGAAAGATTAACTTTCCTCGAAAAGTCGTTCATAAACTGTTTTTATTACACACAGTTTATAGACAATACAGAACACAACCTAGGACACAGAATAATGAGAAGGTTGCTTGAGTAGACAGGGAGTGTTACCCTTCAACCAAGGGGGCTGCATCTCAGAAACACAACAAAAGGATGAGGCGCTAAAGTATGTCAAATATATCATGACGGTTATTTAGCATGTAAATTTTTAAATGACTTAAATTGGAAAAATGAAAGTGACCTTTGTCTTTGTTCAAAGTAAAAAAATGTATAAACAATTTTGTTAAAAATCACATAATGTCCAAAGACATGGATTCAACTGGTGTGAAAAATATTTGTTAAGTGGTACTTTCCAAGGAATTTATCAGTTTTATATTAAAAGATGAATATGACTTGAATTTCAAGAACAATGTTGCACTTGTAAATCTTTACCCAAATAACACCTCAGTCATACCTGAGACAAAATATAGAGTGTCTGATGAGCACTGAATATTATACAAAACTGATTAAGTCACTTCAGAAACAGTGGTAAGAAAAAAAAGCCATAAAATGTGTCACGCTTTATCCTCTGTGTATTTTATACAGTGGAGACAAAGTGACAGTAGCCATGAATTAAAACCCAGCTGAACCAGCCTACCCTCTCTGAATGACATATGACTCATAGCGAGAAAGTCATTCCTATCCCTGCGGTATCCGTTACAATGTCAGGCTCCTGGAACTCTAAGCTTTGCTAATTCAAACTGGATTTCTCAAAGAGTAAAAAAACTGTGATTCTTGGTGACTTAAATGAACCCTGGACATTTAGATTCAAAGCAAGTCTGGTCTCATATTTAAAAAGGATATGACATTTAAAAAAAAATCAGAATTTGATATCTAAATCGGAAGATTTCCTTGAATTATAGCCATATTCTTTTTGTTTAAAATAAAAATAAAATATTGGATTCAATGTCTGTGAACTGGTTACCTTGGAAGGTAACAAACACACTTGGAAGACAAGTAACTAAAGAATAGTCAGAATTTTTAAACTTTTAAATCGTGGGTGTTCATTGGAAACAAGTTTTTACCTGTAATTCATCTATCCATAGTGTTAATCTTTAAACAGACATCCAGGAAATAGAAGCAAAACAAGTGTCCACAGGGGCTTATTTTTAAAACAATGGCACAATGGGGTACCTATATGGGCCAGTGGATATGGGGATAAACGCCCAACACCAACGCGAAAATTTTGAACGTTTACAAACAATACTGAACAAATCGCACATCACAACGCCCGGAGAGAGCGACAACAGTTTGCGTGGGGAACGTGTACACTACGGAATAACTGACATTTCACAAGTGAATATCCACTGCCAAACGATCCCGTACCTAATCGCATTATCCTCAAAGTCTGTCCACAACAGTTTATTTGCAGGACAAGTGCCCCCTCGGTGGAGACAGAGGGGCGGTTGTGACAAAAGACAATAACAGAGCACGATGATTTTAAACGTTAACCACAACAAACCCGTAACACCCTTTCTCTTCAATGCATAATTACTAAAGGCCTTAGGTTTGCTACCTATCGGGGTGTTACGATTGACACATCTCATTAGCAAAGGACTTATCTTCAAGCTTGTTTTAATGGGGAATTAAAGGCGAGGGCACACTTATGATAATGGAATTTATCAAACAATCAGCCAACCGAGCGATTGTTTCGTTAACGACTTGTATGATAACTGATCTCTCATGCGTGACTTGAATGCGTCATATGGCAACACCGTCCTCAATGTGAACGCCTGTAGCCCGGTAATAAAAGTTTCCAGGCATCACATTAATTTGTGGCAACAGCAACATGAAACAGAGCTCGTTGCTGATAAAACGCATTAAGTATACAAATGTGGGGGAAAATCAAACATATCTTCCAGAACGATCAGATTTGTCAAACTTATTGCACGCAATTAACGCTCACAAAGTCACAAATGAATTTTGCATTAAATATTTGGAAAATTATACTATGTTTTATCAGATGAAATCTTTGCATCCTGGGTTAACTTGACCGCGATGTTTTCCCGCCTTTAACGTGCATTATCGCATAACGGTGCGATATGGGCGTCTGAGGCTCCCAAACAGGACACGGGTTCCAGTGGGGAATAAATGGTAAAGTATTAAAAAACAACTGTCCACTCACCAAATTCGAGCCGCATCGTCCTTTACATTTGTTCTTTATATGTTCCACATTAGAAATTGCACCTGACAATGATATCCAAAGGAAAATGAAGATAAAAACGTATAACGCGCTCATCGTGTGTACTATCATCTCGCCATGATGTGTTAGACTGTGGGAAAGTTAGCGGAATCTTGTGACGTTACCGCTATGTCGTGCTCTGATTGGTCGAGCTCTGCTCTGTCGTCTGCAATGATACCGAGCACGTGTTATGAGTTACTATCGCTCATGCCAGAAGTGTTTTGTGCTTCTCGTCTTTATATCTAGATACTGACTGCATAAACGAATAAGTGGAAATAACTTTATACACCCTGAACTGCTACAGAATCGAGCCTTGGACGTTTTTGAGCTTGCTATTTTATTTTGGTTTGTTTGATTCGTCACTGTCCACTTTTGACAGTTGACGGGACTGAGTTTTACATACAGAACCATAGTTTCGTATTTAGGCAACTACATTGTTTATGTTTTATAGTTCAATAAATGTATTATGTACATTAAACAATACCATGGTAATATATGTGTAATTTGCTGCCACATATAAATGGAGCCAACAAAAATAGCTCTGCATATCCGGCGAATACGTATCCAAAATGGCTGCCACGCTGTCATTTCGCTGGTTGGAAATTCTCGAGAAAGAATTTGACAAGGCTTTTGTAGATCTTGATTTGTTGCTTGGAGAAATTGACCCAGACCAATGTGAACTAACATTTGAAGGCAGGCAGAAAATGACAGCGCTCAGTGCTGCGTTTGCTCAGCTTTGCCACAAAGCCCAAACAGTCTTTCAGTGCAATGCTAAACTTGAGGTAAGAAAAAAAAACACAGGCAGATTATAATAATTTCAAGACATGCATGCGTGTTTTACATCATTTATCAACACCAAATGTATGTACTAGCAGCCCACTTATAATTCAAATCGCTTTGCGTGCACGTGGTGCCACGGCAGGCATAACGTGCAGAGTGGGTGTGGCTTTGTTGTTGTTTTGATCAGGGACCATATACCGGTACATGGTGTCTGTTTTGATCCGCTCAGCTCGACACACCATAACCAGGCTCAGTTTTAATAAGTGTATTGTGTGTAGGAGAAACTACTATACGTTTCCCCAACCTAATCTTCATATCAACTTATTAACAGCTGATTAAATAACAGGGCTGACATAATGTACTCTAACCTATGCATGTAAACCATTGAAGGATTCATGATGGGTTGTTTCTAATGCTGATGGGGTTGTTGTCAGCACATCTTATACCACTATGTACCCCGGTATATTTGAGTATACTCACAGTCTAAAAACTATCACTGTGATCTTAAATGTAACCTCTTGTAATGGTAATATTGTAAAAGTCTCACGAGACATTAGTTAAGTGCACATGTGCAGTTTTAAGATTCTGTGGATACTTTTGAGTATGCTCTAGGGCTGGGTCGGGTAACACGTGGTTAATCACATGATATATTGTTTAATGACAAAAAACTCGCTAGTGGTTACACTACAAGTCACTAATGTTCCCATTTCTTTATGATGATGCACACATTCCTTTTGACTTGTATATGTTTGAGGAAAGATAAAGCTTCAGTCAACTTCAGTGTACGCATGATTTGATCGTTTCATAAGAGACCATATATCTATTATATGGCCTCTGGTTTCATACATGTATCTAAACAGTTTTTGCCAGGGCTACAGTTAAACTTTTCCCAATTAGACATTGTGTTTCCAACTCTTGAGGCCTACAGTGGGCACCTGGGTGAGTCGGGTGAGTCGGGTAAAAGGGGGATGGGTACCTCGGTAGTAAATTTGGACCTGTCCCAGCCCTAGTATACTCAAAAGTACACCCATGTACAGACTAATATAAGGCGTTTATAATGTAACATGTGTGGGAACTGTTTTGAAAGTAATCATGCATGTAATGCTTATTGCTAGAATTTTCCCAAAATAATGTTTCTTAGTCATTTCTGCATATATGTTACACTGTTTCTTGTATGTCTAGATCTATACACATGATAAGGCTGGAAACCTGAGGCAACATAAACATTTTGCTCAGTGGATAATAATATAGTTGAATGCCTGATACAAAGTCACTGGCATCATACATTCAGTAGCACTGTCATACTTGTAGGGGGAGGTGGGGTAGCCCAGTGGTAAAAGCGTTCGCTCGTCACACTGAAGACCCAGTTTCGATTCCCACATGGGTACAATGTGTGAAGGCCATTTCTGGTGTTCACCCATCCCCTCACCTGCCATGATATTGTTGGAATATTGCTAAAAGTGGCGTAAAACCATTTTCACCCACTCACTTGAGTTCGTTAGCTTAGATATATATATTCATCGTGCACCTGTGCCTGCAAGGAACCAAACTGAGGAGTTAACACATGGGACATGATTAATAAACGAAGGTTAATTAATTTCAATATTTCATGCCTCCCCATTAAGTACCTTCAGCCTTGATCAGTTATTTAGTAATTTACCTGCACCTGCAGAAAGAAGGAAATGACTGCCCCATGCATGGGAATCCGAGGTACTGATCCAGTCAACATATGCTTGTTGTTAGAGTTGACAAAAATGGATCGGGTGGGGAGATTTTATGGCTTGGCTGAGTTTATATGATTTTGTTGTGCTTTTGTCACTGGATTGCCTTGTTAGACCATTTGTATACAGGCTATTATGATTTCGGTGTAGTAATGCTGACTTTTGCATTAAACTTTAAGGCCCACTGACTAACTTCTAGACCAATCTGTAAGTAACCTTTACAGTGTTTGACATTGAGCATGATGGTCAATGGATCCTTGTCATTGCCCTTATACAAAAACTTGAAGATTTAAGGCCCCCTAGATCCAAGTACTGCGGGAGCAAACCTCAATAACCCAGGACCCTCCCTGAATTTCAAACATTGCTAAAATAAAAACCTTATGCTATGCCTGAAAATGTACATGACAGTCTCTATTCATGCTATTTGGGCATTACAGATCTTTTTATAGAAGGGGTACATAATTGCCTCCTAGCTAGTATTCCAAAAAGTTTTAGTTTAATCGATGTTTGAACATAATCTGTTCTCTACTGCTTGATCTCTGACCATGCTGACAGCAAATTATCTTGTTTATAATAAGATTTTCTCAAACTTCAGGAGAATATGCTACCTGCAAATATTTTAATGGGCTACCCTCTACTGAAGTGATAATCAATTGACACTTTGGATCCTTTCTGGAGAAAAGTGATATTTCTCGAAAAGAAACATTTAAATGTTCAAGCATTTATACTTTGATATGCATGCTCATTAACCATTTCTATTTATGGAATAAGATTTTAAATATGTTAATTCTTTTTATGTACAATTTCCTAGAAAAACAGACCAAATGGTAAAATTGATTATGATTGAGTGGTGGAATAAACTGATTTATGACCTATTATCATGATTGTGATTGATGATAAGTATCCCAACATGTTCCCCAAAAACCTAGTGGCATACTATTCAGAACTGTTCTCTAATTTAACAAAGTGGACAGCTTATTGAAAAACATGGATTACTTTTACAACTGTCTCTGTGTTGATTGATGCATGTTGAAATGTATCACACAATTAGTACACTAATTAGTTAATTGAGTTAGTGCTATTGATACCAGACGATAACGAGTGACTTGTGACTTGTGATCAGTTGTGATTGTGTATGCTTGTTAATTATCAGTATCTTTCTGCTGCATACCTTGAGTGAGGAATGTCAGGAATAGTGCACATTCTTCAGCAATGTTCTAGGCAAAAAGGAGACTTTCTAACCAGTCAACAATTTTACCCATCTATTATTAACTCTGCAGACCAAACTGGGACATCTCTAGGAAAGTTTGACATCAAGTTTGTTTGTTTGTTGTTTAACGCCAGCTATATGAAGGTGGTCTGTAAATAATCAAGTCTGGACCAGACAATCCAGTGATTGAAATCATGCACATTGATACACGCAATTGGGATACGATGACATGCATCAACCAAGTCAGCGAGCCTGACCACCCGATCCCGTTAGTCACCTATTACAACAAGCAGAGGCGCCTTTTACGGCAAGCATGGGTTGCTGAAGACCTATTCTACCCCAGATCCTCGCAGGTCTTTTGATATCAAGCATGGTAAAAGTAAAAAGAAAGACCACTAAGTGCTCCTTAATATCTGTTGATTGGACACTCTTAATTAACGTTTGACAGAGATTTGAGGATAATTAGTGTTTTTTATCAATCTGGTAATATTGATATGATATATATATATATATATATATATATATATATATATATATATATATATATACATACATACATACATACATACATACATACATACATACATACATACATACATACATACATACATACATACATACATACATACATGAATGCATGCATGCATGCATGCATGCATACATACATACATACATACATATATATATATATATATATATATGCACCACCTGTAGAGTATAAGTAGAGGTTTTACTTATTTACAATGGCATCTTGCCATTGTTATACAAGGTAGGCTAACATGATGTACAGTGAAACTGCTCAGTACTGAATAGATTGATGTACATGATGTCAGTCACTGGATTGTCTGATCCAGATGCAGTTATTTACAGACCACTACCATATTGCTTAATGTCTCTTGAAATTTCCAGACTGACAGGGCAGGGTTTAACAGGAATTCATTTCATTCAATGTCTGACTGGCTCCTGTCTGACACATCGTGTCTAAGTTAACATGTCTGGGCTTTTTTGGACCTCCTTTGCAGAGTTGCATCCCTTGGGCCCACAAGAAACCTATGATTAGTTTCAAATCCTGGTTTGCCCCGATTGTTTCTTGGTTTGTCAGCACCAGTCACCAATCACCAATATATTACACACTGTAATATCACAGGAATAGTGTTCAAGGCGGCATTAAACACAACTCACTCACTCATTCTTGGGACCTCACTTCAGAAATGCCAGATCCCTTATAGTAAGAGCAGAAGGTCTGGAAATACATGACTATTGACTAATAACCTGGCAACTATGCATTAAACTATCCAGTAGGTAAACCAACAGCATCTTTCTGCCTCACGTTAATATTTGTGACAATTTTATTAATCTGATTAACCTTCAAAATTATGAATGAATTTTAAATTGATCCCCAACCGTCCCTTCCAAATAATATAAACTGTTTTACAAACGCAACTCCAGTCAGATTCAGAAAAACCAATATTCATCATACAGACAAAAAATTATTTATCAGGAGAGATCCACTGTTGTTATTATTAACTTTTTCAAAGATGTCTCATGTCATCAAGACAGTTTTCATTTTCATTCTGCATTTGATATGTGTTTGTTTGTTTGTTGTTTAACGCTGCACTCAGCAATATTCCAGCTATATGACGGCGGTCTGTAAATAATCATGTGTGGACCAGACAGTCAAGTGATTGACATCATGAGCATCGATCTATGCAGTTGGGATACGGTGACATGCATCAATTAAGTCACAGTGTCTGACCACCCGATTCCATTAGTCACCTCTTACAATCCCAATTGCGTGGATCGATGCTCATGATATCAATCACTGGATTGTCTGGTCCAGACTCCATTATTTACAGGCCGCCGTCATATAGCTGGAATATTGCTTAGTGCGGCGTTAAACAACAAACAAACAAACTTACAACTATATACAACATGTAATGAATGAATGCTGCTTGTTAAACAAGGATAATGAATACTGGTTTGTACATGTTTGAACCGGTTAGGAATTCTAATAAAAAAGTAACCAGTTAACTGAGTAATTGTGATGGGCCTAGATAGAATGCCATAGGCA